TTTAACTATGAACAATCATGCTTAAGCTACATAATCTTTACTCCCTGGAATGGAGATAAGAAACGCCCTAACCTTTGGAATGGAGATTGATAGGATTGGAATCAACTGGTATAAATGCAGATGTAACAAGACAGAACTTAGAAGACAGAACCTACACAGAACCTAGAGACAGAAGAACTTCGCTGGAGAGAACATGGCAAAAGATCCTGGACAGAAACTGGCAACAGAACCTAGAGACAGAATCTAGCGAGAGAACCTGGCTGAAGAACCTAGAGACAGAACCTGGATAGAACATGGCAAGAGAACCTGACTAGAACCTGGTGGCTGAACCTGGCTGGAGAACCTGGACAGAACCTGACTGGAGAACCTAGTGAGGGAACATGGCTACAGAACCTGGCTGGAGAACCTAGCAAGAGAACATGGACACAGAACCTGGCTGGAGATCCAGACCAGAACTTGGCTGGAGATCCTGGCTAGGCTGCTGATCAACTGAACGCTGTCTCCATGTCATTCCTTCTTCGCCGACTCCGTCCACACCTTTGGGGACCCCTGGACCTGCTGGGGCTAGACCCCAGCAAGCTAGCTTATATTTAAAAAAAAAAAATCCTTATATCTGGAAAACAACTACAACAACAGCAAAAACCAACCAAATAAAAAACCCAAAAAGACCCACAACAGCAAAGAACCAGCAATATTTCAACCAAAAAGTCATGAAAATTGTAACCATTCTTATCAGTTTAGTCCTGTGTAATTAAACCTGTTCTGCTTAAATCCGGTTTTTCTATTAGTTCACTTGACCTTGCCTGATAATTAAAGGCAATAGGGTCAGTGATCATTCCAAGAATTTTGCGAGGCTATCTGTCAAGGCTGATATAATTTGCTCAGTGAAGTGAGTGCTCCAATCACTAGAGATTGTGGAGGGTAATACTCCAACTAGGAAACACATGTTCTATTTTTCTTTTTTGCCACTTTGAGGGCATCAGCCTTGTGGCAGGAGAAAGCTTAAACTCATCCAGAAAACTTACATGCAACAAGAATATTGATACCCCAAAATAAGTGGCAATCGAATGAAGTCTAACTTAAATGTACTATAATGGATTAAAAAAAATGCAAAAACTGAAAAAAGGGTTTTTTTCCAGAAAGTCTGAAAGAACTAAGTGGCCACCTTAAGTTTCCCATAGCCGTTTGTTTAATGTATAGCCATTTTCTACCCATCTTAATTTCTTCGATTCAGGAGCAGACTGTAGCCATGTTACAGGAATATCAAGATGGCAAAGGTCTGGCAATGGAGGGTTTTGTTTGCAGAAACAGAATGGACTTTATCCTCTGAGATGACATGATATTGTATATAGTGAACCCTAAACACTCCACCAAAAACTATTAGAACTGGTAAATAAATTCAGTAAAGTAGAAGGATAACATCCTAACCTGTAAAGAATTTTTGTGTTTATTTAAGCTAACCTATCGACAATTGGCAGGAAGCAGAATCTCAACCGACTGGGATAATGCTCTAGAGAATGGTGGGCTTTCATCTATTTTTATACATTGCAATCAAAGGAGGAGATATAGGTGGGTTACATGAAATCCACTGGTGATAGATTAGAGAGGCAGAGGCAGGAGAAAGCAAAGCAGGGAAACCTCCGGGATTGGATAAAGAGTAAAATGATAGACACATACTTCTTTTACTCAGGTGGTTACAGGGTATTTAACAGTCAACAATTGACATGATAACAATAACAATGATGGAATTTGTGGTATCTCTCCTGGTGCCCAGGGCATTTGATTGTGCCCTGAGGAGTCTGGAAAAGAGGCAAGAATGAAGGAGGCAGACATACTGGCTCTAATCCCCCTTACCTAGAATAACATATGTCACTTCACCCTCAAGGTGAAACTGGACATCCAAGGGGTCCAGGTGGCCTATCACTACTTGAGCCAATGAAGCAGAGACAGGGTTGAATTGTATGAGAGTTTATTTCAATAATGCTGGCAGTATAGGAAAGCAGGTCATCCAGGAAAATCTGCTCTGCAACCCCCCATAAACCAGCTGCTTATGTTGGGTAGGACAAAGATTACATGGGGAAGTAAGGATTACTGGTATGGGGAAGTAAGCTATGCACGCCCGGGTGGGACTCCATTGTTTGGGCAAGGCGTTGTTAATCTTTCCATGAATATAGGCAGTTCTTGGAAGGCAGCTATGCTAACCACTATACCACCAACGCCCCATATAGGCAGTTCTTGAATGAGAATAGACCCCATTCCAAAGTTAACTCCCACATCCAAAGTCGACCCCCTGGCCCAAGGTTGTCTCCCAGGTCTCCAGGGCATACAACTCTCAACCAGGTTAGAATGTCCTCTCTTTAACCAGAACAAGGCAATCATGGTTAACAGAGCATGATTAATGTTTCCCATAACCCTAGCTAGTCCCCAATATTCCACTTTGGCCCCTAATAAAGGTTCTTCTGGCTGGTTTAATAATCAAATAGACATGAGACAGATTAGCAAGAGAACATAACCAAATTTAATGCATACATATGTATGGGAACCCCAAACACATGAGAGTCAGAGACCCCCCCACATGCATATGAGGTTCGGAGACACCAAGGGGGACTGAGGTATATAAGACATCCTGAGCTTGGGATGAATGAGATAATGCACCTTCTGTACCTGGCCCATTGTCCTGGCTCTGTTCATGTCTGTCTAACTGCCTACAGCAGAAACTAAAATTCAAGTTTTGTCCTAGCTTACAGACTAGCTATGGCAAAAGTAAGGCAATGTGAATTTAGCCAAGTGACTTAACTTGTCTTCAAATCTGTAAATGTGAGTAATCTACTGCAGTTATTGTATTAAATGAGGAAATCCATCTAAGTACTTAGGACAGTGCCTGACATTAAGTTAAGCCCTTGTGTGGAGGAAGAAACAAGAAACGTTCCTCTAACCTCCAGGCTCTTCTGCCTGGTGTTATTATCAAACAGACTTGAGCCAGATTAGTGTAGATGAAGAGGGGTCACATGCTAACCTTGTTACTGATTGGGGTTACCTGCTAGGACCTGAGTTCTCAGATTTTAAGAGAGAGAAATGGTCAGGCTGCTTTAGCTTACTGGGAAGTCAGAGAAAAGGGGGCCTTGGAGACAGGTTCTGGGGGTTAGCAAGGGATGAGCTGCAGCTGCCCATTTCTTTCCTGGTTGCAAGTCTCATGGGGTTCCTTAGAAGATGGGGGGGGGGTACATGCTTGTGGGGGAAGGGTAGAAAGGGGGACCCAGGTATATAAGACATCCTGAAGTAGGGATGAGATAATACACCATGGGTGCTTCAAAGTGTCATGGCAGGCTGGTAAGAACAGAGGTTTAGTAAATAGAAATTTAGTCTGCCCTCAAGGTAGGTTAAAAGAGGCTATCTCTAATAATCACTTTTGGGAAAGGCTCTTCCAGGTAGTTAACTTAGGGGCAGGAGTTACTCTTGAGCTTGTGGCTAAAATTGCCTTTAGCTCAAAAGAGTTTCTTTCTTTCTTTTTAAAAAATATATGTCTTTTTTAAAATTTTTATTTTAGAGAGGAAGGGAGAGAGAGAGAAACATCAGTGATGAGAATCATGGATCTGTTGCCTCCTGTATGTCCTCTAATGGGTATCAAGCCTGCAATCCGGGCACGTGCCCTAACCGGGAATGGAACTGTGACCTCCTGGTTCATAGGTCAATGCTCAACCAGCGAGTCACTACCGCTGGGCTCAAAACAGTTTCTATAGCAGAGGGACATGTTGGGGTGACTTGATCTGAACCTCCACACATTTAATAAATATGTGAAATTTTCTTTTTAACTATATTGCCATTTTGATTCTTTGTCTTTGGGGCTTCAAAGTTCTAATGATTTTAGCTAACTTATCTTGGCGTCTCATAAATGATGTCAAGTTCTAAAATCAACAAGAAAAGCTTCCGGGAAGTTATATTATTATTATCTAGGATTAACATAACATTTTATCTTTCATTTTTTAAAGACCAGAATAAGAGGTGAGGTCAGTTAAATTGACAGAAAAACTGCAGTAGGAATCCTCAAATCTAAGCCTGCGTTTATCCTTCTGGACAGTTTCTTTTCCTCTTCAACCTTCAATGTATTAAAGGAACTCAAGCTAAATGTTCATTTCCAGTCCGTCCTCTTTCCAATTTCCCCAAGAAACAGGGGAAAGGGGGGGGGGGCGGGGGGGAGGGAAGGTGTGGAGGCGGTGGGTAGAAGAAACCAAACCATTATCCCTAGCACTGTTCACTGTTAAATAACTAAATCCTACTTCGAAGAATTAAATCATTTGAGAAGCTAAAAGGAATTGTATTTACAAGTGTCTGTCTTTCATTTCTGATGTATTTTCAAGTTCTTGTGCTATTTTCTATACTCTTCCTCCCACGGTGTGCATTTTATTTTTCCCCTTCGCGTGATTTGGTTGGGAAGCCTAATCTCCACCAAGGCCATCCCGGCCCTGTCCCTCCCCACCAACCCCCACACCTTCCTTCTCAAATGACCCACCCGTCCCCCTCCCAGCTCACAAAGAGCATCTCCCAGTCGCCCTGCACTCGGCCAGGCTCTCCGGCTTTTGCAGGCTTTTCTGAGCTGTAAGTTGCACAACCCCCGGGGTATCGACGCAGAACCGCGGCACACCTGAGGGCGTGTCAGGGCCGATCTGCCAACAACTCTTTCCTCTCTCCGACTTTCGGCTCTTTTCCCTCTCGGCCAAAACTAAAACCTGACGCGGAGTGACCCGAGCCCTGGAGAAAGTGCCTCCCGCGTTGACAATCGCTTGGAGCATGCTCAGTCCTCCCGGAGTCACAGGGCGGCGGTTTGTCCCCTCCCGCGGCCGGGCGGGTTCCTGCCGCGAGGATGGCGCTGGCCCGGGTCCTCCACCCCTCCCTCCCCTGCCCGCCCCCTCCCGCCCCGCTCCCGCCCGGCCCGCTCCGGGGCACCCACGAGGGCGCTCCGCGGCCGCGCCTCCCCTCCCCGCCTCCTCCTCCTCTTCCACCTCTGGCTGTGGCGGGCGAGGACGCGTCAGGGGCCATAAATAAATAAATAATTGCAGTCCCCCGGGGACGGCGAGGCGAGCCGGCTGCGGCTCGGAGGGAGCGGAGAGCGGCCGTGCCCACCCGGTGCCAGCGCCAGGTAAAGTGCTCGCCTGGAGCCCGGGAGGAAGAGGAGGAGGAGGAGGAGGAGGAGGAGGAGGAGGAGAGGGGCGGGCGCCCGCGGGGAGGCGGGCGAGCGTGCGACTTCACCCCGCCGTCCAGGGAGCCGCACGCGTGTGCAGAAACTTGCGGCCCGCCGGTGACAAACACGCCGTTTGCCCGGGAGCCCTTATAGAGGCAAAAACAAACAACCCCCAAAGCTGCTCCCCCTGCGCGGAGCTCGCGTCCCCCTGCGCGCGGACCGCGGCGCGGCAGCTGCGGGCTGGGGGCGCACGCGTGGAGGAGGCGCTCCGAGGGGTCCCGGGAAAGGGGCTCCCCGCGCGCCCGCGTGCTCGCGGCCAGGAGTTGCCCACGTTTTGAGCTTTTGCACGGAGACTCTTCTGGAGCGGTGTTTCCCCCTCTTCTTGGCCCAGGAGTCTTCCGGGGCTGGTTCCCGTCCGGCGTGTCTCCAGCATCCCGCCCTTCTCATCAGCATCCCTCCCCGGGCCCCGGGAGCCTCCGGGGGCGGCCCGATTGCTGCAGGGGGTCGGGGCGAGGATGGGGCTGGAGGTCACTGTGCGTAGGGACCGTCTTCTCTTTTAGCAGACGGTCGGGGCTCGGAGAGGCTGGGAGGGGACGTCGTCCCAGGGAGGCTGTCTTCCTTCTTTTTTAGGTCCCCAGGTCTCGGTGGGGTGGGAGGCGGATAGAAAGGCGTGAGCTTGTGGAGGTGTGCGCTCTGGCCGGGGGGGATTGTGACCTTCAGAGAGTCTGCTCCCCCGGCTCACCCTGGGTTTCCGAGTCTCCTGCGCCACGATGGGGGCACCGGGCCAGGTGGCGCGGGAGGCTGGCGGCGGCTCAAGGGCGAACTGCAGACTTTCGGATGCTGCCCCGCAGCTGCTCTCCACACCCGCTTTTCTCCCTTACTTCCGCCAAAGGGATTGCAGACTGGTTTGGCAAGGGCGGTTGTGAGCTAGGGCCACTTTCCCGGTAGGACTAGCCAGGGCTTTCTGTGGTCTACGCCAAGTGTATTAAAAAAAATCACACACACACACACACACACACACACACACACACACACACACACACACACCTCGCACGCGAGAGGAATGAGGCGTGGTTTCTCTACAAGTGTCTGCCTACACTTTTGCAGAAGTAATACTGAGAGGGCTGGGTTGCGTGAGAGCGGGCTGTTGGAAGTAGGAAAGCTAATATTTCATCTCCTCGCTTCCTGGATCTAATAAGAGACGCATCAGAGGAATGAAATAGCGATCCATAATGAGAATGATATGAAATGACTGGGCAAGAGGAAGCAGTGGGCGCTAGATGTCCACTCCTGGCATCCTGTGCTTTATGGCTCAACCCAAACAGCTCAAGAAGGCCCGCAGCTATGTGCTGTGTCATTGGAACCACAAGTACTCAAGTCTGCATTTGGGGGCCTGTGGCTGAAAAATCTGAGCTGGGTGGTGGCTGGCAGGGAGTAGATGAGGTTTGAGCAAGGTGACTCTTCTTTAACCTTGGTGAAGCAGCCCTAGCTCCACTTTCTGCTTCTGACATTGCATTTAAAGGAGTCTAAGGGAGCAGGTAATTGAATCCAATGATCTCAGTGAAAGGGAAACATTATTACCTGAAGCAACTCAGTGTTTTGTAAACTACTCAGGAACTCAAAAACAGTTTTTTGCAAAATTCCAAGCAACAGTTTGCAATTAGGCCCTGCTTCTTTTCCTCCAGGGAGTGTTTTAATAGTGGTAAGTAATCTGAAATTTTAACATTTCATTTCCCAATGTCCAAGTTAGCGCATCTTCCTGTAAATGCTGGATTTGTTTGTAGACATGCATTTCCTCTTTTATATTACCTGGCTTATGTTTTTTTTGGCCTTGAACCCTCCTGAAGGGAAGGACAGCAAAGTGATCTAAAGAAATATCCTTTAGCCAGAGTTATATTTTTGGAGCATGGGTCTGAAATAAAAAGGAAGTAACCTACATTTGTTTTTAGTTCTATATTCTTTCATCAAACATTTTTTGATACATTCACATGGAAAAAGGTAACTAACTTTAGAGTTAGATCTCAGGCTCAGTTCTGCATTTTGTAAGGTTGTAATTATGTAACAATCCCATTACCCAGAAAATGGGATTGTGGGCACCAACCATGAAGTGCTATTGTGAGAAACAAAGTGTATGGAAAACACCTAACTAGAGACTGGCCATTTTATAACCCCTAAAACCATTCCAGACACTAAACCAGTGATGGCGAACCTTTTGAGCTCGGTGTGTCAGCATTTTGAAAAACCCTAACTTAACTCTGGTGCCGTGTCACATATAGAATTTTTTTGATATTTGCAACCATAGTAAAACAAAGATTTATATTTTTGATATTTATTTTATATATTTAAATGCCATTTAACAAAGAAAAATCAACCAAAAAAATGAGTTCGCATGTCACCTCTGACATGTGTGTCATAGGTTCGCCATCACTGCACTAAACTGTAGTTACTAAGATGAATGAGATTGGAATTCTTCTCTCAAAAAAATTCACATCTAGTCATCCAATGTATCTTCCCTCTACCCTCTTCGCTTTTAGCCAATTTCCTTCTCAGTGGAACAGACATTCATTCCAAATAACTTGAAAGGGACTTAGCAGTCTAAGGAATATTTGTAAGATCTGCTAATAGTCAAATTTGAGAAGGGTATCTTGCCTTAGAAACCTGTATATTCAACCCCATTTTTTTGACAATTGAGAGTGACCTTGTATAAACAGATATGAAAGATTTTCTTCTAGCTACATAGCTGACAGGATAAAGAAAAATTGAATTTATTTAAGGAAAAGGGGGTAGGAGATGGGATATCCAAAGGAAGGGCTGCACAACACCAAGCCAAGGGGACATTGGGTGGATGATGGCAGCACCCAGGAGCTGAAGTTTCGTCCTTATATGCAGTCACTGGCGGGAAGCTCTTATCATCAGTGGGTCTGGGGGCTGAGCTGGTCCTGAGGCAGCCACAGTGTCACTTGTCTGGCTTTGCTGCTTTTCTGGGCCTGGAGCTGAAAAACACCCGAGCCTTTAGGGAGGAAATGGTCAGGGGTCTAAACCACCTGACTAGCAATATGAAAGATCGGGGGTCCAAACCCCATGACCAGCGCTATGCTAGGGGAGGATAGGTTACCCTGGTAGTGAAGTTCTTGTTTTTCCAGTTTTGCCCCCTTACTAGGCATCCAGAGCTTTCTGCCCTGGTGAGTTTCTGTACCCGCCCCATTATCCTGCAGTACTTGTAGACTTGGGTGAATTGTTCAAGTTCTTGAGGTCCCCAATGACGTCTTGAGGTTCCTTTGCCATCTCTCAGGAAAACAACCTTTGTTTCTTACCTGGAAAAACTACCATGAACCACATGATTAAGCAAGGTGACAGGCTTTTTTCAACAGACTCTTATTTGCTTCTTAAGGCTTTCTAGTGACATCCAGAGTCAGGTATATCCTTTTAGGCATGACATCCAGTCAAAATCTTGGTTGATAAAACTACAATTGGAAACTGGTCTTGCTGAATTCATGCAAAGAAATATATTGCCATGATTCACTCATTAAGAATTGCCAAATTCTGGAGGGATCAGGTAGGGAGAAAACTATAAAAGCTTCCATATTGCTTATGAAGGTATAATTTACCAAATTGTTCTAGGGAAATAAAAACAAGCTTTCTTATATCTGGAAGATAGAATGATTTTCATATAATGAATTTTTTGTTTGTCCTGATTATTTGCCAGTATTTTATGTTTTCAGTCACTATATAGAGTCCTAAAAATTTTCACTTTGAAGAGAAGACCTGTTTAGAAAGCTGTAATTTAGAGTAAATCAAAGTTCTTGTCATGAATATTTTCATACTTAACTAACGTATTTGTAAATGCATCAGAACAATACAATGGTTTGTAAATGGCAAACGTAAATAACGTGATTATAGACTTGACCATAAAACAATTGACAAAGAATCTTGTTTTTCTGTAAGATATAACATTTCAAGATGACAATTTCTTGGTAAATAATAATTATTAAGAAATGACATGAAAGAATAATAAAGTTTATATTTTGAAATTCAATGCAGAGTTTTAAAATATATATAAAGAACAAACAATATGCAAGATTTTAAAACGTTGCACATGGCTTATTGGAAGTGTGTATTGAGCACAGGAAACAATTCATAAACACCCAATGTGTGGATTACAAACATCTGGAGTACTACTGCCAGATGCTTCCCACAGGGAACTATTATTCTAGGCTTATCACTGACAGGATACCTGTTACTCCTGAGAATTTCCTGTTTGAACTTGGCTCTGAATCTTTGCAAGTTCCTTCCTAGAGAAGATTGAAATTTCTAGAATATCCATTTTACTAAAAATATATGTATATTATTATTTGCCAAAGCTTCCCATGTAATTTTTCAATCACATTAAATAGGCCTAATTAGTTTAAAAACTTAGGGGAGAGAATGAATTCTCGAGGTATGTCAGGGCCTGTTGGAAGAACTAAAAGTCATTTCTCTGTTAAAAAAATCTTTTGAGCCTTGCTGATGTGTCTCAGTGGTTGAGCGTTTGACCCAGGAACCAAGAGGTCACAGTTCTATTCCTGATCAGAGCACATGCCCAGGTTTCAGGCTTGATCCCCAGCAGGGGGCGTGCAGAAGGCAGCTGATAGATCAGTGGTTTTCAACCTTCCTAATGCCGCGACCCTTTAATACAGTTCCTTATGTTGTGGTGACCCCCAACCATAAAATTATTTTCGTTGCTACTTCATAACTGTAATTTTGCTAGTGTTATGAATTGTAATGTAAATATCTGATATGCAGGATGTATTTAGGCGACCCCTGTGAAAGGGTCGTTTGACTCCCAAAGGGTCATGACCCACAGGTTGAGAACCGCTGTGATAGATGATGTGATAGATGATATTTCTCATCAATGTTTCTAATTCTCTATCCCTCTCTCTTTAAAAATCAATCAACACACACACACACACACACACACA